GTGTGACCCGCAATTACAACAGGTTAATTTTTGGAAGTGGGACCAGAGTGCCAGTGGAGGCCTGGAAGTGAAAACAAATATTTTTAATAAGACAATTGCTTTGTCATCATTAAAAGGCATACTTGATGTTTGGAGGTGGAACCAGAGTGAGTGTGCGCTCAATTTGATAGCATGGCAGATGCTTTTGCCACAAGTCAGATCATGAAGGGACTGTGTTTTGCATGTGGCATCAACTTAAATGTTTGGTGTTCTTGTTATTTTAGTACAGTTCAAGCCAGACCTGCATCACTCAGTGAAAAATGTAGAAGTTTAAAAATATGCTGTTATATTGTTCTATTGCCGAATACATTTCTTTATTTAATTTGAAGAAAATCCAACATGGGAAATTAAAACCTGGCATGTAGATACAAAACGTAGAATATTATTCACGGCAACTTGAGTGAGAACCACAAGTCGAAGTGTTTGCAGACGAGGTTTCGAGCTCTTTCATTTGTATAATTATTTGTTTTTGTAAGAACGCAACACTTTTTTTTCCCGGGTTCTTCGAGAAGTTAGTTCGGTTCTCGTTGAGAAAGACTGTTTTTTGGAAGCTCCAAAAAACTTTCATGCTGCACAACTCAAATCACACCGTGCAATGAAAACATTGGAAAGGTGTCAGCAAAGTTTTATTTCGACACAAGTTGCTCCGTGTGGAGTGGGCATCCGGCTCACCTGTTTTTATTAATTAGAGACACTGCGCACCTGTGGGCAAGTCCCTGATTGTGGTCACGTGACATGCACCATCGACCGTCACAAAACAAAGAAAAATTTCATCATATTTAACAAAATGAAATGAGAGCATAGCAACAAAATGGGGGCAGGGGAGAGGGTAAAATACAAAACAGTTATTTTGTTGTTTGACTTGGAGAAAATCTGACTGCTGTTAAGTCGGATAAATCATTAAGGACAACTTTGGCTGTGTCTTGGTGCTATGCGAGACGTCTCTTTTTTGTGGGAAGAGACTGAATCGCAGTGGTAAGGAAGAAACTTCGCTCAGCGTCAGCTTTTCGGCGAACCAGAGAGCTCTTGAAAACTTAATGACTTAGAATTAGTCCCTAACCTCCGTGGGGACTACACCGGTGCCGGCCCGCGGCTCATTTGGTACCGGGCCGCACAGAAAGAATAAACTACTTACATTCCTTCCGTTTTATTTATTTTGGACTTTGAAAGGTGTTTTATTTTGAAAAATAGCCGGATCCTGTGTTACATCCATCTACAGCAGGGGTAGGGAACTCCGGTTCCTCGAGAGCCATATCCGGCCTGTTTTCGATCCCTCCCTACTCCAACACACCTGATTCATTCATTGTTCATGATCGTTTTAGGCCTCTACAGAGCTTGCTGATGAACTGATCATTCGAATCAGCTGTGTTGAGAGAGGTCAAGAGGGATCTAAAACAGCCAGGATATGGCTCTCGAGGAACTGGAGTTCCCTACCCCTGGTCTACAGTATGCCACTCTTCACTCAAGTGAAGGGAGCGCTTCTCGGTCACGTGATAGGTTACCACTGAAATGAAACCCAAGAGCTAGCAAAATTAGTAAAATTACAAACATCTTTGGAAGGTTCTTGAGGGAAGGGAAAAAGGCCCAGCCAGAAGACAGAAGAGGAGCCTTCGACTTCCAAGAAAAATAAGGCTACGTTTAAAAAGGCAGGATCAGAGTCCTACTTTAGATACGGATTTATCTCCACGGGAGATTCCCACGCACCAAGCCCACTCTGCATAACATGCGGCTATGGTGAGTCCTATTTGGTGTTGCTTTAGGGGAGGACTTTGAGCCATCTTTCTACAAACTTGAGGCCAGCGACCTGACGGCGTGTCTCGCCACCGGCTTCAGCCGACACAACGCCACGGAGAGGGCGGGAAAAGGGCACATGTTCGAAGAGTCTCGCGCCGTGCAAATATCCGACGGCTCGCTCTACAACCAGGTGGCACTGATAACAGCCGAACATGACGACACGTGCGAGAAAGGTGAGGAAGGTCAGGTGAGGTTCCAGTCATCTTAATGGAGTCACCGCCTCATGTCTGCTTGTTTGGTCGCCACAGGTGAAACTGGACCGGGGTGGTGCCAGGACGCTTTGGTGCCAGGTTAGTATCGAACATGAGAGAGGCGCAGTCTGTCGGGCCCAGTTAAATGTGCATGTCGCCGGCAGACGAGAAGGTGAACCTCCTGTCCCTCATCGTCCTCACCCTGCGCCTCATCTTCGCCAAGACGCTCGCCATCAACTGTGTCATGACGCTGGGCCTGTGGTTCGGCGCATCAGAGTAGCTCACGCGGCATTCTCACCACCTTCCTGTTTTCAAATACCTAAATGGAGGAGTAACAGCCGCAATTAGTTTTGATGGATTTGTTTGTTTGTGTTTGAACTTGCATGCTGTCTTCATGTCAATGAGCGACCAAATCGATCACTAAATCAATTTGAAAAATCTGACAATATAAACAAGTTTGGTTGGTTAATTACTGTAGTGGTGTTGAGAAAGGGGCAACCATGCTTCGAAATACTTTGAAATAAAACTAATAGAAAACGAATAAAGGTGATTCATTTCTGTTTACAATGGTGAAAGGGGACGCCAAAAACGAAGTTGTTTTTGTAGTGTCATGTTAGCGCCCAACAAAACGCGTGATACATGCACGTTAATATGTGTGTGTGCGCATCACAATGAGCGTTTGTTTAAGAGCAAAGAAGCAAAGGTCTACTACTTTGCAATGTGTGCGTGCATCTGTTGCACTGTCTTTGGTTTTGCTGCTGTTTACACAGGAAGTGGTCACCTTGGCACCTGTGTCACAGATGACAGCATTTCGGTTCCGGTAAAACAGGTCACACCACCTCCTTCAAAGGCTGAAACAACTGGAGTTCCCCTGATCTCATTCTGATATAATGCCTAAAATACTGATTCCAAGTTTTCATGTCCGTTTCAAGTGAACGATTCAAGGAACAGTGGCAAACGACGCACTTGCACGTTCATTCACAGCAGGTTCCCTTGCTGATCCTTTGTCTAACATGTTGAATGAAGGTTGTTTGTGACGCCTATTGGATATCCACCCATCCATTTTCTAATCCGCTTATCCTCACAAGGGTCGCGGTGCATGCTGGGGTCTATCCCAGCTGTCTTTGGGCAGTAGGTGGGGGACACCCTGAACAGCAGGGTACACAAAGACGAACAAACATCCGTGCTCACACTCACACCTCAGGATAATTTAGAGTGTTCCATTAACCTGCCATGCATGTTTTTGGAATGTGGGAGGAAACTGTACCCGGAAAAAATCCACGCAGGCACGGAGAGAACATGCAATATCCACACAGGAAGGCTGGAGCCGGAATTGAACCTTGCACCTCTGCACTGTGAGGCCAGCATGCAAACTAGTCTCTCCGTGTTCTCCATGTGCCTGCGTGGATTTTCTCCAGGTACTCTGGTATTAACTTTTGTCTTTTACAGAACCAAGAAATTCAGATCTGACAAAAATCTTTACTTTTCAAAAAGGTCATTTTTTTAACTTTACTTTCTTTCATGTCCTTTGATAAATTATTCCACATTTTCAGTCCAAAAACGGTTCGACAGTATACCAGCATTCCGATTTCGCACGAAAGCCAGGTTGTTTAAAATTACCTCTCCCTCTTCTCCCTCATCAGGAAAAAAAAAGTCACATATGTGATGAATAATTCCGGACTTAAAATTGACCCTTGCGGTACCCCACATGCAATATCTGCAAGTGGTCATTTCAATACAATGGATTGTACAAACTGCTATTTTCACTGTAGCTTTTTACTCAATTCAACCCTATCTGCCTGATCACATATTTCTCTTATTATGGTAGTTCAAAGACATGACATCAAAATTTTTTCTGAAATCTATAAACAGGCCTATTGCATTCTCCTTCACATCCTTCCATCCATCCATTCATCCAAGCATTTGCAGTAAAAATCCCAGTGTTTCATTTGTTTAATGAAACATGTGACCTCTTCCCGAATTTTGAAGGAGTATTCCCAACACAAATTTGTCCCATTTTGGACAGACCTAACTTCAGATCAGAAAGAAGGAGAGGACATTGAAATACAAGAAGGAATCCATATGGAGTCTCAAATCAGATTAGCAAAGGAGCACATCTGAGACTCATGACAAGACAAGAAAAATCGAAAAATCAGTGAGTTACAAAGTACATTTTTAGGCCCGCTGGGCCACAACGGGACAAGACAAGATCATTTTGAGCACGAAAACAGCCTGTTGTCAGGCTGAGTTCCAGCTCTGCAACAGTGTGACCCATCTCTTCCTGTGAGGCCACACCCCCGATGTATGTGACGAGATGAGGCGGTTGCAAGAGTTTTTGTGCAGGCACGCCAGTGGATGTGTCAGCGTGGGCTGCAAGGCGCAGTAGAAGACTCCCGAGTCGCTGGGCTTCACACGCTCGATACGCAGAGGAGCTTGCCGAGCACTGGCGTCCATGCTGCAGCTATACCTGTCAGAGTACTTTCCTGCCGTCTTGCCTTGACCGATCTTAAATCGGCTCAGGATGAACTCAGGTGCTGCGTTGGCTTCTTGTTTGTACCAGAAGATATAGTCGTTGCTCACCGATGTGACATAGCTGCAGTCCAGCGTCACTGTTTCACCCTCCACAGTGTGGACGTCCACTTTGGGCTGGTGCACGGTCTGGCCGCTGCTTCCTGTCACAAAAAGGGAACAAATGCGGTGGAGACGTCAGTTGAAGGTCCCATTGACCGCAGATTACCTTACCAAGACTCCAAGCAGCCATCAGCACACATACAAGCGCCTGACTCATGTCTGCACCCGCAGTCTGTATGAACGCTGACTTCTGGCTGAGGAGGCGGGGCCTTCATTTCCTGAGGCAGTGACATCACACCTGCACATTGAAAGCCTGGCGCCACTGTGAGAAGAGGAAGAGTGACCCCCTGAGTCGCAGCAGCGCACTGTGGTTCTTGTGTCTCATCTAAACGTCATCTTTTGTCGTCTGCGTCTTCTTTTTGAGAATACTGGCTGAGAAGCGGCCAGTGGTGGAGGGGGAAAAGCAGGCTTCCTCTGGTACACAAACAGGCAATGACAAGTTTCCCTCAAAATCACAATGTGGTCTTTTGCTGATGTCACAACACTGTGACAAGAAATCTATCGACAGATGTTGAGGAAATTGAAAATCCTAATGTATTGGCAGAAATTGCTATGTGACCTGATTCCGTTCTGTTCATTCTCTCAATAAAAATCATGCTCCATTTTAATAACATACACACTAAATATATACAGTATATATTTTTTTTTTCATCAAACGTCACAGCGATTTGTGATTGAATTATCATGAATGCAGAGGTCGGAGTTTCACCCACATATGCAACAGCTCCCGCCTTCAGGCACGGTAGGAATGTAACAAGTAATTTTCAGATTCACCATTGCCAATGATGGTTACACAGTGGAATATATCCAACCACTCGTCCGTGCCAAGACCGCCGCTGTATCAAAAGTAGTCCAGAAATAGTGGTCATTCTTCGATGAAAATTACGGCCAAAACTCAGAATTGTCGGCGAAAAGGAGCATCTGTCACTCGAGATTGCACTCCATTTCTTTAATACATTTTGGCAAACGACATCATGACATTTTGCACAGATTGAATTCTACCTTCCGCATTGTTTATCAATAATCTTTCTTTTTTTTAAGAAATCAATCCATGTCAACGATCCTTTGGAGAGAGGGAAAAAAGAAAAGATCTCAAAACAACAGATCAGACTTCCAATGTGGGAGCAAAACATCTCCGACGGCATCACTGACTTTGAGTCGTAACGCGAGGTGCGAGCGGAATTATTCGCAGAGGAATTTGACTCCTGGTCCAAAAGAAAGGAAACAAATTCATGTTGTCAGACAAATGTGACCAAGCGGAAGGATTGGTTTTGCCTAACTGAGTGTTTGTAAGAGATTCGGAGAAGGAAATTGATCTTTCGTGAGTGTCCACTTGAACTCGGATCCTCTGTGGCTTCACCGATGGAATGTAGGCTCCGGATACGTCTGCAAACCCTTTGTACTCTCCACCAAACAAGCCAATGCCATATGCGGCCATAAAATTTGGCAAACAAGGGTCCCCCCACGCCACCCCCAGTCTCCAATAAGTGCTTTCTCCAACCTCAACATCCCAAGTATGCGTTCCTGATGCCAAAGCAGAACCGCGCACCTTGTACCAGTCAAACCTCTCAGGATTCTTTGGACGCAAATGTCTTTTCCCAAAACTCAAGCTGGTCAGATCTTCCGACAGACTGAGTTCCGCATCGGCCGTGTTTGGGTCCAGGATGACGGGACTGTAGGAGACCATGTCCTTCATTCGTTCCCACGCATTGAACTTGAGGTTGCCCACGTGTTTGGCTTCATCCAGCAGAGCTCCTGGGAGCAGCTCAGGCTTGTTGGGCAGGTTCTGGATTTTGGTCATTGCAGTCTGGAAGTTTTTCATCAAGGAAAGGGGGTCAGAAGTCAGCTGCTCCTCTGCGCTTCTGATCGCCTCTGAGAGAGCGGCCATGTCTGTGTCGAGAGCCTCGATCTTCTCCTTCATCCTCCAACTCTTCTTCTGCTCCTCGTCCCTCACAGCAGACAACCTGGCCTCCTCCTCGACCCACAGGAAGCGATGAAGCTCCTCGAAATCCTTCTTAATCTTGCTTTCCACCCGCTGTGTCTGGATCTTGATGTATGCCGCTTGTTCATTGCAGTCGTCTCGGATCTCGTTCAAATCTTCCAGTCTTTCCTTTGCACCCTGCAGACCTTCCCGGAGTTTCTCTTTGTTACTTTTGACAACTTCATCGAGGGGACGGAACGTGTGTCCGGCGTGTTTTTCTGCATCTCTGCAGACGAGGCAAACAAGCTCCTGGTGGTCCAAACAGAAGAGTTTCAGTATCTCCTTGTGCAAGCTGCAGACGTCTTCCGCCTCCACTGAGGCTTTTGAAAAGGCCTCACACACATTCCTCAGGGCCAAGTTTAAAGGGACATCCGTCAAACTAAACTCAGTTCTACAGACTGGACATGACTGATGTCCCTTTCGCTCCCACCACTGCTGCACACACGCGCGGCAGAAGCTGTGACTACAAGGCAGTACGACAGGATCTGTAAAGATTTCCAAACAGGTCGGACATACTAGGTAGTCCGCAACTCTTCTCGCCATGGTCCTCGCGAAGACACACAAACAGTCTGTAAGCTTGCAGCTTTGGCTGTCAGGAGAGCTGCTGTGCGTTGGCCACAGTCATGAGTGAAGGAATCGTTTGTCGCCAAGTGGACTTCCTGGTTTTCGTTTTCTGACTTGACGGCTGCTAAAAGCACGCCGTTATCTGGGATCACACAAAAAGTGGTTTATCACTCGCGCACGCACACACACACACACACACACACACACACACACACACACACACACACACACACACACACACACACACACACACACACACACACACACACACACACACACACACACAATCACATGCATGCGCACAAAAACATTCCAATCCAACAAGTCACACCGAGCAAAAATCAAATTAGGATTCAAGCACCAAAAAACACTGCAACAAAGTTTCCCCGACTCGAAAACAAAAAGCAAAATGCAGTCTTAAAAGCTAACTTGCTCAGAAAAGAAAAAGAGGATAAAAAGGGCTTGTAAGGAGATGGCAGCTTACCTGTCCTGCTGTGTATTCAATGTGCAGGTAGCGAAGAAAAAAACCCCACAATGAGCTCAGTGAAACAACGAACCTGCCAAACTCGCTTCACCACACTCCAAAAATAGCAAAACAAATGATGAACTAAAATGAATGACATATGATAAAATGAACACAAATGTTGACCTCAATTACTTTTGCCTTTTTACTTACTGCAACTTGCTGAAGATCCGCTCTGGGACGGCAAGAATTTTTAATTTTATTTTATTTTTTCGCATTTTGCTTCCAATATTTGGAGCTGAGGAAGCGAGGAAGAAAAATAATTTGACAGAAATAATGTGAACGCATCAGCAGCCCCACCCCTCCAAAAAAAAAAAAAAAACAACTTGTGTTGTCGAAAAATAATGGCACAGAGAACAGAGCAGTGAGTGATAGAAAGGCAACAGTGACTCAAATAACCACCCGTTAGAACCAAGGGAGGCAGAAGAGCATCTCTGAACACACAGTACGTCGAACTTTGAGGCAGATGGGCTACAGCAGCAGAAGACCACGCCGGGTGCCACTCCTTTCAGCTAAGAACAGGAAGCTGAGGCTACAATTTACACAAGCTCATCGAAATTGGACAATAGAAGATTGGAAAAACGTTGCCTGGTCTGATGAATCTCGATTTCTGCTGCGACATTCGGATGTTAGGGTCAGAATTTGGCGTCAACAACATGAAAGCATGGATCCATCCTGCCTTGTATCAACGGTTCAGGCTGGTGGTGGTGGTGTAATGGTGTGGGGAATATTTTCTTGGCACTCTTTGGGCGCCTTGATAGCAATTGAGCATCGTTGCAACGCCACAGCCTACCTGAGTATTGTTGCTGACCATGTCCATCCCTTTATGACCACAATGTACCCAACTTCTGATGGCTACTTTCAGCAGGATAATGCGCCATGTCATAAAGCTGGAATCATCTCAGACTAGTTTGTTGAACATGACAATGAGTTCACTGTACTCAAATGGCCTCCACAGTCACCAGATCTCAATCCAATAGAGCATTTTTGGGATGTGGTGGAACGGGAGATTCGCATCATGGATGTGCAGCCGACAAATCTGCGCCAACTGCGTGATGCCATCATGTTAATATGGACCAAACTCTCTAAGGAATGCTTCCAGCACCTTGTTGAATCTATGCCACAAAGAATTGAGGCAGTTCTGAAGGCAAAAGGGGGTCCAACCCGTTACTAGCATGGTGTACCTAATAAAATGGCCGGTGAGGGTATATGAGCAGCATTCCCGCTTGGGCGACAAAATAAACTTGGGTCACAAATGCCCAACCACCAAAATAAACTAAAAACACTTTCCTTTTTTTTTGCTCACAATATGTGGTCACTAATTTACAAATACAACAGGCCAATGTATGTGTGACATCAGTGATTTCTTCACAGAAATAAAATCACAGGAGCTGACCAAGGTTTTAGTGACAGCAGTTTATTCCCTGTAGACTGACAGCAAAATGGGGCTGAGTGTCATCTACGTGAGCAAATAGCATTCTTTTGATTGAAAGATGGTACAGTACAACGTAAACATGAGCGATTTCCACAATGAACTTTAAAAAAGTCGAACAAAACGTAAAATATTCATTCGACTAATTTAGAAAAGCGAATTAACTCAACACGCACAAAATAATGACTTGAGGCTCACTACACTTGAATTCATTCAATCACTGAGTTTGCAATATTTTGTCCACAGGCGGCCCAGTGGTTAGCGCGTCAACCTCACAGTGCAGAGGTCATGGATTCGATTCCGGCTCTGCCTCCCTGTGTGGAGCTCTTGCATATTCTCCTCCAGTTCCTCCCACATTCCACAACCATGCGTGGCAAATGTGGCAGGTTAAGCTACAATAAAATGATGTACAATCCAAATGCATAGTACTAGCCACATTAATCTCACAGGCATGCTGGAGCCTATCCCAGCCATCTTTGGGCCGTTGGCGGGTAACATCCTGAACTGGTTGCCAGCTAATCGCAGGGCACACACAGATGAAGAATCATCCACGCTCACACTCACACCGAGGGACACTTTCAGTGTCACAAAATCGTGTGAATAATGGCGTCCTCATGCTGTGCCGTGGGTTGTCAGAATAGAAAGAGCACTAAGAAAGAGATCTAGTCTTTTCTCGAATTCCTGCTGGTAAACACCCCTTTCAGAAAAAAATGGCAAAAGTTATGGTTACAAGCTTTATGACGTGAGAATTGGAGTGAGAAGGAAATTCAGAATGCTCGTCTTTGCAGTGCTCACTTCATATCTGGTAAGTACTTGGGAGTTAGATCTCCCATTTCAAATTATATTCTATGTTGTGAAAGCCCAGAATAATGTTCAGTGAGTGAAAGGAACAAATGAGTGAAAATAATATAAAGTAAAAAAAATATATATAAGCATAGCATGAGTGAAATTTAGTGAGCCTTCATTTACAAGTCACTTGTAAGTCGTCTGAAAAATAATGTCCACTCATTTGGTAATCACAAAACAAAACAAAAAAGCCCACAGGTAAAAAATGTATATATATGTATGTGATATGATTTATTTTACAGATGATCAACCTGTACCTGTTGATTGTGCAGCTGCCTCCATCACAACAGAGCAATGTCTGATCAACTTTTGATGAAAGTTCTTCAGGTATGAGATCACATGCTGACTCTTCATCCAAAGTTGGAATGGGCTCAAGAAGACAGCCCTCGCACTCTGAAGCAGCGTTTCTGTCTGTGGAGTCCTCGTGTGAATAAATGCTTGTGAGAACTGATGCTTTTGATGTAATTGATCTCAGCAAGTTTATGTGTTCGTCGGTTATCCCTAAATATGAAATCAAATATATAATTATGAATAAAAGCATTTGAAACATGCTACATTTAACATGTTGAGTACAAATGCCTGTTTCATATGTGTGTATCATTATTCACATTTGGTTGAATTTGGATATTGCAATTGCAATCTATTTTCAGCAAATTATCTAGCCATCTTTGCTTCATTATGTGATTCACCCCGAGTTACCACAATGCTGTCTTTGGATAACCTGCTTAAGCTGTCTTTGGATATCCTGCTGAATGACATTGCACATGAGATTTTACCAGTTCTCTTAACTTTCTTCAAATTGATATCACACACACACGTACTGGTTCCACTTTCTTTCTGGACATATCATTCCATGCACAGGATCGTGACGTGCAGGCTGAAGCGGAAAGGCCCAGTCTCACTGCCATGTCCACCTTCAACATGATTGCTGCTGCAACATGAACCAACGCTGAAACAAAAAGACTACTAATTCAAACTGAATAGAAAACTGTTGAACATTATTTGTGATTTTATTGAGACAAAGTCGCAAATATGTAGAATCTATATGAAAGTTGTGCTTAATCTTATATCTCTTTAAACTTCAACGATTCTACATGTTACATCAAACTGGCACAACAATTAAACTCATTATCATTTGTCACACACAAATATTAGGTACAGTTAACTACTGCATGGTTATTTGCTAGATTATCCTCTCAGCATTTATTAGTTTGATAAATGAATGAGATTGTCCATAATTGAAAATTGAAGACACCTACTTACCCTGCCATGCATGTGCAGTTCGCGGTCACTATGGAGCCAGTCTTCTTATTCACACATACCCATGCATGATAATACTGAGACTTTTGTCCCTGTCTTTGACGAGGCAGTTCGATGAAAAAGAATTGAGTAAACATCGCCACCTATCACATAATTATAAGCATCAAGACTCTTGTAGGCTTTGAGAGTCTCGTGTGTGAAAGCGCGAGGGTTATTTATCAAATACAGGCAGCGGTGCGTGAGCAGACTCTGTTCACCCGCGAGTGTTTTTGCCTCCGAGATGTGTGCGCATCTTCATGACGTCCCTGTTGTTTGCAAACTACTGCTGGCAACAGCTCACGCCCATGCGCTCCACACTCAGTGACTCCTCAACCTGGCTCATCTCCTCTGTATGACGTCACCCCCGACTCAACTCACCCAGCCCTCAAATACACAAATAACAAGAAACAGATATTACGGTATTGTAATGCCCTTCAGTGTCGTCAGGATGCACACGGTCGCAGATGCAATCTGTTCGCTTTTTAAAAAAACAAAACAAAACGGGAGACACGGACCAGAAAATTTGTCGGGAATCCAAAACAAATTTACCGGCCATTTTTTTTTTTTTTTTGTCTCATGATATGGACTATTTCAATTTTAGGAATAAAAATCAAAATTCCAACTGTTATTAGAGTCTTTCCTGACTACTAAGGGAATAATGCTGTATTTTACTTTTGGTGCTTCTATTTTAATACGGACGAAATTCAAATACATCAGATTCCGATCAAGAAAACAAGCTATTCGATTGGCTCATTGTGGTCACGTGATTATACAACAGTGGCACTCAGTCTGTGACAGCGGCCTGTGGGATTCATGTGGATTGTACTCTGCATTTGGAGTGGTCATGTGCAATATGTAGATGGAGTTTGATGTTGTTTTGCTACTTTTGTCATTTTATTGCAGCTTAGCCTGCCACATTTGCCAAGGAGGCTGTCATTACACTGGTGAGCAGCGTCAGCTGTCGCTGGCCTCCGAATTGACGTCTGAGCTGCACTGTCAAAATAACTTGAGGAGAGAAATGAAGAGAAGAAATTGGATAATACCAGAAGAAAACTACATGTGGTATCGGATGAAACAAACTAAAGAGCACACACAGTATGAGACCTACTACAGAGCAGAGTGAAGTAAAAAACGAGTCAATACAAAAGCATCATCGAGCACGGTAGCAGCCCGTTGTCACACTGAGTTGCACCTCTGCTACAGTGACACCCATCTACTCTGAGGCCACGCCCCCAATGTCACTTATGAAATGAGGCGTGTGCATGTGTTTTTGTGCAGCCACGCTAGTGGATGTGTCAGCGTGGGCCACAGGGCGCAGTAGAAGACTCCCGAGTCGCTGGGCTTCACGCGTTCCATATGCAGGGGAGCTTGCCGAGCGCTGGCATCCATGATGCAGCGAAACCTTTCACCGTACTTTTCCGCAATCATGTCGTAACCGAACCGATCTGTGCTCAGGATGAAGTCAGGCAATGTGTTTACTTCTTGTTTGTACCAGAAGATGTAGTCATTGTTCCCTGCCCTGTCGTAGCTGCAGTCCAGCGTCACTGCTGCGCCCTCCACGGTGTGGATGTCCCGTTCTGGCTGGTGCACCGTCTGGCCGCTGATTCCCGTCACAAAAAGGCAACAAAAGCGATCAGACGTCAGTGGAAAGCGGCAGTGACTTCACATTCGACCTTACCCAGGCTCCAAGCAGCCGTCAACACACATACAAGAGCCCGACTCATGTCTGCACGCGCAGTGTGCGTAAACGCTGACTTGTTGCAGAGGGGGCGGGACCTTTCTGAAGCATTGACGATGGAAGTCGTGTATTGCTGTGAGGCGTAGCAGCGCACTGTGGTTCGCGTGAACGTCAACTCTGTCTTGTCTTGATTTTAACCAGACTCATTTACAGCTGATAATAACTGAAATATGTACATAATCATCTCGATATGCAGGTGCACTTGCTCCCTGTCACTTCCGATATTCGCCGACATTCAAGCACGTGGCGAGCTGCCACTTGGGGAGATGGAAAGCAGGAAACTGTAACCGTTCGGTGCCTTTCATAGTCGCTCTTGTTCTCAGTATTATATTTTTATCTATCTTGACATTTGTTTGAACGTTATTGGACTTGTGATATTTTGTTTGTGTATTCTAATTTTGCTCTTGTACCTTGCCTTTGCAAGCGCTTTTTGTTTTATGTCTTATTTTTTTCTTCTGGCTCCTTGTGGCCAGGCAAGCAAATAGCGCGAATAAATTAGCTTGGTTTGACTGTGATTAAAGTACAGATCCGGATAAAAAATATTTTTTCTGAACTTATTTCTTGTTCAAGCCAATCCATATTGTTGTGGAAAATAATTTAGCACGCACGCAGCAAAATATGTTTTCTTTGTTTTTTTTTTTTGTGGTCACCTACTTTTGAACAAAGAATCTGTCACGGTTCTGTTTGTGGCCAACAGGTGGCACTGTAGGGCTCCTCCTGCAGCTGCACACCTGTTGGTCATTGTGTCATTAGTTTGTTTGTTTAAAAGGACTCTCGGCACGACCACTCGGTGTCGGTGTCGGGTCATTGTTGCTGTTTGTTTGTCCTGTCATGGTTCTGTTCGTGTTAGTTTTTTTGCTTCAGTCATGGTTTATGGTTTGGTACTTTGGATTCCTTGTGTTCTTAGAACTTTGTTTGTTTAGGATTTAGTTTTCTCTGCGTTTTTATCACTACAACTCATCAAGTTCACCCTGCTCCTCCGTCCTGGCTGCTTTTTGGGGTCCACCACCACCTCGCAACGTGACAGAATCTTTCACTGAAGATTCTCTGTGAACCCCAAACAAGACAACATTTGACTGCGGAGAGCCCAAAAAATCATTTGGTTTCAAGACAGTTTGATTGCCTCGCCTAACCGCTAAAAACTCAATTTTCAAATCATAACAATATTTTGTTTAGAAGCAAGATTTTCAGTTTCATTTTTATGAAATTTGTACTGGACGACCGAGCCCACATTTAGAATGTCGTTGGTGGCCCGACAACAGTGCCACACTAGTCCAGGACCATGAGGCCATTGGGCCACTGTTAATGTCGAATACTGTATCATTTTACTGTACTTTGTACCATTACTTGGGACCACTTGGTAACATCAAAATAGGTGTGAATGGCTTTTGAGCGGAACTTAAAACAGAGGCAACATGATGTCAGCACAGTGAAGCCAGAGATGGTGGGCGTGGCCAATGTGGTTGCAGCTTTGTGTCACTGTGGATGTTGTTGCAAGAAGGCTGCTGCAGGCTTCAAGATTGTCTTCGGGGGCGGGACAAGCATGACAGTGGAAATCAGGATGATCTTAATATATACGGGAGCTTGTATTTTCCACCTCTTGTATTGACATCATTGTCCGTGAATACTTGTTTTTCTTTCTCCACTCTGTTTTTTGTGGAAAGGTTCACCTGCTTGCCTCTGCCACGAATCTTCCTTTTATTGCCTCAAGTGCTATGGCAACATGATGAAAATTTTACCCAGCTTTTTTGATGCAAATACCATGCTTCAAGGTATCACAGACACTTGGAGAAGGGTGTCCAGTCGATATGGATGACATGAAAGTCAAGTGGACGAAGAACGTTGCCCTGAGGGATGCCGCTGCGAAGAGGCGGACCGCTGATGTGAAACTAGTTTGAGTGTCGCAACTGGTAAATTTTCCCATACATGCAACTGGAACGAGCAGATAATGGGAACACTGACAATGCATTTTATTTGTGCGTGGAAACATGAAGGTAAATGACAAATGGGATTTTGCTTGTATCACGCTTTTGAAGGCACTTAAAGCACTTTAACAATCCTCATCAGCATCAGGACCAAGTTGGGGCTTTGGTATTTTGCTCAAGGACACTTGGGCATGGTCACTTGGGTTGAGGATTGGACCCACGACCTTCAGGCTGGGAAAATGACCATAATACCACCTCAGCCCATAAGGATTCCAGTTGTGCTCTTGTCAAAGTTTCACTTCAGGTTTTTGTTATGGGACCAACTGATGTGTGTCAGGAGCTCAGAGATTGCTTTTCAGAAGCGGTACCAGACTGACTGTGGAGAATCGTAAGTTTGGCTTTTATGTATTGCAACCCAAATTGTGTCATAACCTCAAAAAGATGAGATAAAATAAGATAAAATATATTCTCCAAGTGCATTTTTTTACACCGCGAAGCCTGTTGAGTTTGCAGCTTCACAACAGATCTCAGGAGGTTCTTGTTTAGGAAGTAACTAATGTGTGACAGGATGGAACAGGTTATTTTTTGGAAGTGGAACCAGATTGATCGTGGAAACCTGTAAGTGGGATTTTTTTTTTTGGGAAGATAATTATTTAGTTTTGTTTTAATTAAAATCAGAAACAGACACTTTGCTAGTTCATATTTTTTGGGGTTTTGCTTGAGCCTCACATTGTCTGAATGTGTAGTCGATGTTTGGATGTGGAACCAGATCGAATGTTGGCCATGGTGAGTGGAAACATAGCAAAGTCTATTTGGTGGCTCAATTAAATGAAATTTGGGCATTTGGTTGTTACATGTTTACATGCTTTGTGTGAAACTTTCACAAGTTCTGTCATTAAGTTAATGTGAAAGCTTTTGGAAAGCATTAGTAATGTAAACATTAGACATGTCAGGAACCAGCAAATTTCTTTGAAGCTAAAATAGACACCTTAAATCAAACAGCATCACTTAAAATATAAGTTGCTGTTTCATTTCCATATTCATTTAGATGTTAAACTAAAAATAAGTATCAAACACAGAAAAAAAATAGTCGTTCGTGATGATGGTCTTCATGGATGCTTAACAGGTTTGCAAGGTGCTCTCCAATTGCCCACGTCACGTGCACGGCATTTTGTGTGCACCAATCTCATACATGGACCCTCGCGAGTCAATTTCTGCTCCAACAAAATCCTTGGACTGCCTTGATTTTAAAACGAGTGAGGGGAGCCGCTTCAATTGGTCATTCATATTCCACATTGTGGTCATGAAAACATTTGACACAACTTCCCCTGTAATGTCAGAATCTGGTTGGTGTTTTAGGGGAGGACTTTGAGCCGTCCTTCGACAAATTTGAGGCCAGCAACCTGACGGTGTGTCTCGCCACCGGGTTCAGCCGACGCAATGCCACAGAGAAGGCGGGAAAAGGTCACATATACGAGGAGTCTCGCCCCGTGCGAATATCGGATGACTCGATATACAACCAGGTGGCACTGCTAACAGCTGCACATGACGACACGTGCGAGGAAGGGGAGGAGGGTCAGGCGAAGACTCCAGTCATCTTAATGGAGTCACTGCCTCAGGTCTGCTTCTTATTTTGCCGCTTCAGGTGACAGTGGACCAGGGCAGTGCCAGGACACATTGGTGCCAGGTTCGTATTGAACATGTGAGAGGCACAGTCTGTCGGGCTGAACTAAATGTGCATGTCGCCGGCAGACGAGAAGGTGAACCTCCTCTCCCTCGCCGTCCTCACCCTGCGCCTCGTCTTCGCCAAGACGCTCGCCATCAACTGTGTCATGACACTGGGTCTCTGGTTTGGCGCACCAGAGTAGCCAGCGCAGCGCCACCACCTTCCTCTTGCTGCTGTGCTTGCATTAGAACGTCTCTTTTTACGTGTCAGTGAGTTATAAAATGCATCATTAAATCAACAAAAATTCAATAAAAGAACATTTTTTAAAAGACTGTTGCTTCCTTATTTTTTGGATGATTCAAAAGAGGCCCCCAAGATTCTACATCCAGAGAAACTAATAAGTCATGAATAAAATACAAAGAAGAAATCAAATCAGCATGATTACAAATTGTTCAAATAGTAGAAAGCCATTTTTGAAAACAAACAAATAAATAAATAAATCAACAATATAGAAGAATTCAGTTGCCTCGATTCAACTTTTGCCATGACCTGGATGAATGAGAGTCAACTCACACATTAAAAAAAAAAAAAAAATCCCACATCATTTAGCAAGCCTATCGGTATTTATTTTGTGATGATGAGTTAAAAATGACTTGTGCTATTTCTATGTGAGTTTTTTTGTGCATGATATCGTTTGTGTCTTTGCTGCTCTTTCCACAGGAAGCGGTCGCCATGGCACCTGCACCACAGATGACAGCGGTGAGGGTTTCGATCTCAAAAGCTTACTGGGACAGGATGTTTGTTGTGTGTAGGAAATGCAGGTGTCAGAGATTTTCTCGGACAAAGTTAAAGAAATGACTCGGCACACAGGAAAATTGTCTTCAATATCGGCGGGAGGGGATCTCTGAGAGCGAACGACGGTAGTTGCTCCGATGGTCACACTCTCGAGCTCCCTTCCCGCCAATTCCGACTTTTATTGTAACATACAAGGAAAACACTGCCCCCGACATTTGCATACCGCACCCCCGGTCCGGCCCCTCGGTAGTGATTGGTTACCTGAGTTTAAGCTTTGAACCACCAGTACATTGGCACCCTTCTGTCTGGTCTACACTGTATCAACATGTTGCAGACTTCGCGGACGACAAATGTCGCCTGGGCGCGACGGGTGTTCTCAACTCGTCTTTTGTTGTTCAACCGCTGTTCCCAAATTATTCATTCCCCTTTTGTGACCGAGTTTCGCCCTCTCCCCTGTGATTGCCCACCTGCATTGACGTGCTAATTGTGGACTTCAACAGCCCTCCGGCCAGGTGGCCGGCGCCTTTGTGCACAGGCATTTGGGGGTGCTGGATACGCACCCAAACGTTTAGATGTGCCCAAATTAAATGAAACTTTAAACATGATACAATTTTGCTCATAGATTCCTCTAACAGCAGG